GTTAGTTTGATTCATATTTGTTTTTGGGTTTCCATTTGCCTTCTTGCAACCATTTGAGCCTTTTACCTTCTTTTCAAGCCACATCTTTAGTTCTTTGGCCTTTTGTTTCATTTTCTTTCTATTCTTGGTTTTTTGTGAAGCAAATTGATCACGTATGATGGAGTTTGTGGTGGATAAGTTGGAAATTTGGTTTTTATGAGTGCTAGTTTGTGATTAAGTCTTCTTTGTGAATAATGGCAAGTGTTTGAGTAAAATCCGTCCTTAATCATAAAAGGCATGGACTAATATATTGCATTATAGAAAAAGCTGTCCGAATTTAGCGAAAGGCGAGGACATTGCAAGTTTAAGTAAAAAAAAAAAGAAAAAAAAATTTGAAAAAAGTGAAAATTCATAAATATTTTGATGTATTCTTTTTTCCTTCTAAGCATTGAGGACAATGCTTCATTTAAGCTTGGGGGAGAAGCGTTTACGCTTTTTGTATATATTTCTTGTGAGTATAGCTTCAAATAAGCTTGGGGGTGTTGCTTTTGCTTGGTGATTTCTTGATCGTGTTGTTAAGGATTGATCACCCTTTTGCTTTACTTTTTAGGAAAACCTCCAAATTTTAAATTTTAGCCTACCTTCACCCTTTATGCCTTATGTTACAACCTTGGGGAAAGACCTTTCGACCTAGAAAGTTGAGTCACTATTCGGGGGAGGGAATCATGGGTCATTGCCTAAGGAAAGGGGATGCGAAGTCAAGATGTCGAGTAGCCCAAAAATTTGATCTTTTTCCGGTTCCTTCGCGGAATCTATGAGATGCTCACTATGGGGAGATATGAGATTAGTAGGGGGAACGCGGTAAGACCGTTTGGGATGAAAGTTATGCTTAGCATTTTTATGTTTCAATCAACCTTAGGTATCGTATAGCGTGCACTCCCTTACTTGTTTAGAAAGATTTGCATTCATTGTGCTTGTACATTTGCAAAACTCCTTTCATGAACATTTGTTTGCTTTTATTGTATTTTGTTTTCTTTTTCATTCTTTGCCTTGTTTGTATTATTATGAGAGTTATGGGTAAACTCTTAGGATACCCTTACGAGAGCATCACTCGTCCTCTAGGGCGATCTAGGGGTTTAAATGAATTGTCTTTAGTTGCTAAAATTGACCGTGATTCCTACGAAAGTGAGTTAGTGTATATTCCCATCTTCTCTAGTTTTCTCGTTTCTTTCTTTGCTTGAATAATGTCATCATTTTTCCCTTGGGTTGGATTTTGTTTTGCTCGAGGATGAGCAAAAGTTTAGCTTGGGGGAATTTGATCCGTGCCATTTATGGCACCTTTAGGCTATGTTTTCTTTATATTTATATACTCCTTTGTAGTCGTTTATGTCGTGTTTTTAGAGAATAATGCTCGATTCGCGTGTTTTTGTATTAGTTTAGAGAAATGCATGCTTTTAATGGCTTTCTTATCATTTTATTCATTTCTCGGCTATTTCTCTTGCTTCTCCGTTTCTTTGACTTGTTTTGTAGGTACTTCGCGGGCTATATGCATGTGAATTGAAAATAGCACCCACTAGGATCAACATGCACTTTTCGGAATTGAATTGGAGTTTGAAACAAAGGAAAACGAAGGATTGCAAAGTATCAAATAGGACCTTTGTGCATTGTTTTAGTCATATCTCAAGTTATACAGATTGGATTAGGATGATTCAAGTTGGGTTGGAAACTAGGCCTGAAGAGCTTGCCAATGATATATCGCCCGCCTTCATACGATTCTTAGATCGGAAGTTACAGCCTTCTGAAGTTGGCCCTGGAAAACTGCCGCGGGCGCGGGCTATAGTACCCGCGGGCGCGGGGTTGCTGCAGCTCCAAAACTGCCGTATTTGGGCAGTAAGCACCCACGGTTGTCCCGAGGGCTCCCCGAGGGCGCGGGCTTGGGCCGCGGGCGCGGCTATCGGGGTGTCCGTTCCCCTCCGCGGGCGCGACCAATTTCTCCGCGGGCGCGGCCTATTTCTCCGCGGGCGCGGGTTTTTGGGTCTTTTACGATTTTAAGCTTCTTTTCTCCTTTTGTTTATATAGTTTTTGGTTTCCTTTATTCTTCATTCATGTAATTCTTTAGTTTTAGAATAGTTTTCTCTCTCTTAGGTTGAGAGCTTCTCTCTCTAGATTAGGCTAGATTAGGAGTAGTTTTAGAGAGAGAAAGTGAGGAATTTCAATGGTGATTGAGAGATTGAAGATGCAAGTGTGACAATTGTGTTGGAGATCTTCTAAATTATCAATGAGCATTTCTAAACTCTATCTCATTCAATTGCTTTGTTTAATTTGATGTTTGTTTGGTTTGATTTTGATATTTGATGTTTGATTAGAGTAATTATTCTTGATATTTTGTTGATTCTTGTTCTCTATAGTTGATAGTTGATTTGATGATGTTGTTTGATTAGTTGTTGGCTAGGAATTGGGTGAAACTTGTATGATTGATTAATTGTGATTAATTTTGGAATTGTGTTGATTAATTGTTGAGATTAAAGTGATTAATGAAGGTTTGTATGTGTGTAATTCAATTAGGCCTTGAGAATTATGCTAGATTGCATTGTAATTGCTAATGACATGATTAATTGATTTAGGAATTGCAATTATCAATTGGTTTTTATTGTGATTCTCTTAGTTCGTTATTCATAGTGAACCCTATCTTAACAATTAGGAGATAGCTCTTTGATTCCTATTGATTGCTCTTATCATTTAGTCCTCACAACCTTTGATTGGCATGCTCTTCCCAAGTTGTTGCAATTGACATGATTACTTGTTGATCCCCGTTCCTAGTGTTTTATTTCCTTGGTTACTTGTTTTGCTAGTTGTTAGTATTCTCTCTTACCTTCGTCTTCGACCTAACTTAGGCGCATAATTGAAAGTGCTTGAACATTACCGTTCGTTTGGGTTCGACCCTTGACTTGCCTCTATACTCGTATTTAGGTTTGTTAAGTGTTTATAAATTTAGTTTGACCGAGGGAAGATTAGATAACGACCTAGTTTTCCCCTCGTCATGTTAGCATCCTTAAACATAGTAGGCCAATAGAAGCTTGACTCATTAATCTTAGCCACCGTTTTAGTGGGGCCTTGATGTCCTCCATAAGGTGAGGTATGACAAGCGGTAAGAACGCCATGAGCTTCCCATTCGAGAACACACCTGCGAAATAATCCATCTGCACACTCACGAAACAAAAAAGGATCATCCCAAAAAAAATGTTTAACATCAGAAAGGAATTTCTTTTTCTGTTGGTAGGACAAGTCACGAGGTAGAGTACCACCCACTAAATAATTAGCAAAGCCCGCATACCAAGGGTGTTGCTCTACAACTGCATACAGGTTGTCATCAGGAAATGAATCATCTATAGGAAGAGAATCCTTACCCTCATCATACCTGATTCGTGACAAGTGATCTGCCACTCTCTGCTCCTTTTTTTATCTTTTATTTCAATGTTGAAGTCTTGGAGCAAAAGAACCCATCGGAGTAGCCTTGGCTATCAAGTACTTCAATGCTGCATGGTCAGTAAAAACAATAACTTTAGAACCAACAAGATATGATCTAAATTTTTCTAAAGCATAAATAACAGCAAGGAACTCCTTTTCCGTAGTGGCATAGTTGACTTGAGCTTCATCCAAGGTTTTGCTTGCATAATAAATAGCATGCAAAACCTTGTTCTTCCGTTGTCCGAGCACGACTTCTAGCGCAAAGTCACTTGCATCACACATGATCTCGAAAGGAAGGTTCCAATCGGGGGCACATATGATGGGTGCCGATATCAAAGCCTGCTTAATCCTGTTAAAAGCCTCAAGGCACTCGTCAGTAAAAATAAAAGGGGCATCCTTGAGCAAAAGCTGAGTCAGTGGTTTAGCAATTTTAGAAAAATCTTTGATAAAACGGCGATAAAACCCCGCATGACCCAAGAAACTTCTAACTCCCTTAACATTAACTAGGGGAGGTAATTGCTCAATCACTGATATCTTAGCTTTGTCAACTTGTATGCTCTTATCAGATACAATGTGACCTAGGACTACTCCCGCTGTCACCATGAAGTGACATTTTTCCCAATTAAGAACTAAGTTGCACTCTTCACATCTTTTCAAAATTTTAGCGAGATTAATTAAGCATGAATCAAATGAAGAACCATATACGCTAAAATCATCCATAAAGACCTCCATAATAGACTCTATGAAATCAGAAAAAATGCTCATCATACAACGTTGAAAGGTAGCGGGTGCATTACATAAACAAAAGGGCATTCTACGATATGCAAAAGTGCCATAAGGGCATGTAAAAGTAGTCTTTTCCGGATCTTCAGGGTGAATCGGAATTTGGAAAAATCCCGAATACCCATCCAAATAGCAAAAGAATTTATGATTGGCTAACCTCTCAAGCATTTGATCTATAAAGGGAAGAGGGAAGTGGTCCTTTTTAGTGGCGATATTTAATCTACGATAATCAATACACATACGCCACCCTGTTACAGTTCTAGTGGGAATTAATTCATTTTTTTCATTGGTTATCACAGTCATCCCACCTTTCTTCGGCACTACCTACACAGGACTTACCCATTTGGAGTTAGAAATAGGATAGATAAAACCTGCATCAAGTAATTTCATAACCTCCTTCTTGACTACTTCCTGCATGTTGGGATTTCATCTTCGTTGGGGTTGAATGCAGGACTTATAGTTGTCCTCTAGATGTATCACTACTACAAAAATGCTCAAAGAGACCCGAAATAAGAGACCGGTTAATTATATAACCGGTCTCTTTGTTTCAAGAGACCCAATGTCATAGATAACTGGCCTCTTTGATATTGTGTTGTGAGGTGAAAATTTAATGGAGACCATTTATCATAGATAACCGGTCTCTCTTAAGTTTTTTTATTTAAAAATTAAAAAGGGAGAGACCACTATGCAACTTAACCGGTCTCTCTTAATTTTTTTTAAAAAACAATAAAAAAGGGATAGACCTGTTGCAACTTAACCGGCTCTTAATTTTTTTTCAAAAAAAATAAAAAAGGGATAGACCTGTTGCAACTTAACCGGTCTCCCTTACTCACCAAAATAACATAAATGAAACCCTAACGCATATTCTTTGTTCCGCCACTCTGCCTCCAACAATCAATCTCCATCTGATCTCCTTCATCTTTCTTTTCCTCTTCTTCTATCTCCTATCTTTCCTCTTAAATGAATTTCATCTCCTTTAATTTCCCGGATAAACCCTCCTGTTCGGAGCGTCAAAATCGTCGAAATCAAGTGTTGATTTGGTGATGAGTGTTGAAGCAATTTATTGCAGTTTGCGAGGTTTGATGAAGCGTTTCCAGTTCTCGAACTCGAAAGAGCGATTTAAGTTATATTATCATGGTTTAGAAGCGTTTTATGGGTTTATGCCGTTAGATGATACTCATTTTATGTTGGGTTGATAAATCGATTGATTGTTATAAAGATGAATTGAAGATCTAGATTCAAAGGATTATGATCCCAAATTTTCCGAGAATACTTGTAAGTCTCTTCTTCTTTGATTTTGTTTTATAATTGATTATCATTTCTGGATTTTGGTTTTTGTTTGATCTTTTGTGGTGGTTTCGATTGTAGTTAATTTTTGATCTGTTTGATGTATTTTACACTAATTTTTGCTTCTTTGATTTCGTTTTTTAAGTGATTATTATTTCTGGATTTTGGTTTTTGTTTGATATTTTGTGGTGGTTTCAATTTTAGTTGATTTTTTATCTTGTTGATGTATTTTAGACGAATTTTTGCTTCTTTGATTTCGTTTTTTAATTGATTATTATTTCTGTATTTTGTATTTTGTTTGATCTTTTATGGTGGTTTCAATTTTAAGTTGATTTTTTATCTGTTTGATTTATTTTACACGAATTTTTGCTTTGATTTAGTTTTTTAATTGATTATTATTTCTGTATTTTGGTTTTTGTTTGATTTTTTGTGGTGGTTTCAATTTTAGTTGAGTTTTGATCTGTTTGATGTATTTTACACTAATTTTTGCGGTTAGACTTTAGATTTTTGTGTTGTGTAGTATTATCATTGTTATCATCGTTTTCAATTCATGAAATTGTAGAGTAGTGGATCAGTATCTTATTCACATGGCTGGAAATATATTGGATTTGTTTTAGTAAATTTCTTGTTTATCATTCATCTAACTGCTACCATTGATTTATAATTTTTTTTTTTTTGACGAGTTTAATTTACAAATTCTTTTTCTTTTTAAAGGAGTCGATCTTTTATTTTATTAGTTCATTTTTTTCAGTTAAGTTCTAAACGAATATGTTTAATTTTTTTTGGTTATTCTCAATTATTATGATTGATTTATTAATTATTTGCCTTTTGCTTTGACAGATATGCTTGTTTTTTTACACAAGAATCTCATAACAAAAGAAAGAGGAAGAAGTTGGAGTACTCAAGTAGTCAAGCTACATGTTTGATATAATTATATGTACTAGAATTTAATTAAAGTTTGTTAAAATTCTTTGTTAGTACAAACATTAATGTGGCAATATCAATATATTATTCTCTTTTAATTTTATCGAACAAAACATAGCATAAATCAAATTAAATAAGCTATTTTTTATTTATTATAAATGCGCCCAAAGAGACCTGTTAAGTTAAATAGGCGGTCTCTTTTTTCTAAAAAAAAAAAGACTGCCTATCTTTAATAAGCGGTCTCTTTTTTCTCAAAAAAAAAGACTGCCTATCGTAGATAGGCGGTCGCAGTATTCTCAATTTGGAGACCGCCTCTAAAAAGCAGTCTCTTTGCCAAAGAGACCGCTTAGCTAGAGACCGCCTCTAAAGCAGTCTCTTTGGCTAATTTAGACTGGTCTCTTTGGCCAATTTTGTAGTAGTGTATCTTGTGCATACAAAAATCAGGGCTAATACCCTTGAGATCATCAATACTGTACCCAATAGCTTTCTTATGGGTTTTGAGAACCCCTAGAAGTTGGGAAGTTTGTAAGTCAGTAAGTGCAGTACTGATGATCACGGGGTGTAGTTCCTGTTCATCGAGAAAAATATATTTTAAATGAGAAGGGAGAGGTTTTAGCTCAGGTTTCTTGACCTCTGCAGATTTTGATTCCTGAATTAAATTTACTACCTTCAATGTTTCCTCGGGGCTTAACTCTTTTAAGGAAAGAGCCTTTTCAATATCTTGTACCTCATTACCCCAAACGCTTGCAGTGTCTATAGATAAATTTCCGCAGAGAACTTCCTCTAGGGGATCCTTCGCAAGAACCTGTGGCAAGCTATCATCACAAATATCATCCATTATATCAATATAGCAACAATTCTCCTCTAGCATAGGCCCTTTCAAAACCTTCCCTAAATTAAAAGTAACATTGCCGTCACCTACAGAAAGGGTTAGTTTACCATTTTTAACATCAATAATCGCTCCTGCAGTATGGAGAAAAGGCCTACCTAATATAATGGGTATTTGTGTATCCTCTGCACAAAAAATCAACAGGAATAAAAAATTTACCAACTCTGACAGGTATGTCCTCTAAAATACCTAAGGGGTATTTTACCGAACGATCTGCCATTTGCAAAGTTATATTAGTAACTTTTAATTCTCCCATATTAAGTTTAGCGCAGATAGACGATGGCATGACACTGACACTAGCACCCAAATCACACAAAACTTTATCAATAAAAACATTCCCTATATGACAAGGGATAGAAAAACTACCGGGATCCTTTAATTTAGGAGGGGATTGTTTTGCAATAAGGCACTACACTCCTCTGTGAAAGCTACAGTTTCTACTTTATTAAAGGCCCTTTTCCTAGTCAGAATGTCTTTCATAAATTTAGCATAAGCAGGAATTTGAGTGATTAAGTCAGTGAAAGGAACTGTTACCTGCAGGTTTTTCACAACCTCTAAAAACTTACCGAATTGTTTATCAATCTTACTCTTTAGATGTCTATTAGGGAATGGAAGCTTGATAATTGGGCTCTGCACATCTCCTCCATTATCCTGCGATTTACCCTGCACAGATACATTAGTAGGGTTAGTATCTATTTGTAGCCCTGCAGGGCTAGTAGGATTAGCGTTTGGTATAGAGGAATCTAGATCAGGAACTGGTCTATCTTCCTTTGGCATAGGAGGTCCATCATAATGTGAACCACTCCTTAGAGTGATTGTATTGGAATGATCTGTAGGATGGATAGGTTGTGATGGTAGAGCTCCCTGCTGACGGGATTGTAGGGTAGATGAAAGTTGTGCAATTTGATTGTCCATGATTTTATTATGGGCTGGGATAGAATCAATTTGCGCATCCCTACTCTCCATATGCTTTTGCATATTGGTAAGCAGTGCTCTAATTTCTGTCATGGCAGGGTTGGAAGATGATGAGGGTGATGCTTGGCTATTCTGGCCGGAATTAGGATGATAATATTTTTGACGTGGTGGGGTTTGCTGTTGTGATTGCTGTGGAGGTGGAGGATTTTGTACATTGGTGCTCCGGTATGAAAGATATGGATGATTTTCATAACCGGAATTATAAGAATTGGAATAGGGGTTATTCTGCCTATAGGTTTGAAAGGCAATAACTTGTTCCATAGAGCTCCTACAATCTTTCTCCCAATGACCTACAATTCCACAATTTTCACAAAAAGCTTCATTATTAGCAACAGTAAGATTATCTAATTTTTGACAAATAGACGTTAATTGTGCTTGCAAAAAGGATACGGAAAAGACATTATATTTTACTTTATTTGCAAACCCTATCGGATTCCCATATTGGGAATTGTGTATTTCCATGTCTTCGATAACCTGTCCTGCATCGTCCACATTTAAATTCATGAACCTCCCACTAGCTGCAGAATCTAGCACTGATCTAGAAGAATTTCCAAGTCCATTATAGAATGCTTGGATCAATTGCCATTGTGCTAGATTGTGGTGAGGGCACTCTTTCTGTAGATCCTTGAACCTCTCCCAAGCCTCATATAACGTTTCGTCGGCCTCTTGAGAAAAGTTGTGAATAGCACTCCTTAGCACCGCTGTTCTCTCTGCAGGATAGTATTTATTATAGAAATTCAAGGCAAGAGTTTCCCAGTCAGTAATTGAAGGATTCTGTCTTCGATAAGTGCAATTACTAGATATATCAAGGATCACTATTATGGAGATAATAAGTTCGTTCTTTTGGGTCGTCATTATCTGTTGCTAGACTATGATCATTGACCTTTGGGCTAGTTAAATAGTCCAAAGCCCACTAGAATGGATCCTATGAGGTCACACAACAAAGGTATTGGGTTAAGCAAGTTAGAGGCCCATTTATGGTCCTCATGAACAAGTAACCAATCATGAATTGGATTGGGCTAGTATAGTTAGATTAGAGTTAAGATTTGGGCTTTGTCATGGACTCTTATTTAGAGATGAGATCTATAAATAAAGTCCATGCCTAGGGTTGTATGACACAACACAATTAACAGTTAATTGTGCACCAAGCAACCAGTAATCCAAACCTCTTTCTCTCTCTGTACTACACGCCCATCTCCTCCCTTCGTGGTGGTTCGTGATTTTTTCGTTGCTCGTTCTACTCCATAGAAGGTCAATTGAAGGGTTCAATTGCAACTAACTAGCATTAGTGGAGGACTTAATCTGTGCCTGTGGACCAAGTAGAGGAATCACGCTTGAGGTTCTTTGTCTCCCTTGTTCTTGTTCGATCACACGTGGAATCACGCTTCAAAGGTATTAACTCTAATTCTTTATGTTATATGCATGATCTTGGGATTAGGTGCTATATGAATATGATTCATGTTTTCCGCATTCGTACCTATAAAATCCTACAGTGGTATCAGTTAGCCTATGCATGTACATATATTGAATATTAATTCTTTGATAGTCCACAATTTTAATTCAATTAGGAGGGAGAATAATTTAATTATGGTTAAATATTTATATTAAATGAGATTTAATTTTTGGAATTGTTTAAATATGATTTAAATTGCTCAATTGTTCTAGTAAAATCTGACTTAAGCCCTAGAATTTTCGAAAATTATGATTGAAATAGAGCCCTAAATTTTGATTTTGTGCTTAATTTTGATAAATTTCGAATCCTAGATTTGAAATTGAATTGTGAATTTGATTTCAAAATTGAATTAGGCATAAATGTTGTGTTTTAATTTAAAAGACCTAATTTAATTTAATTTTATAAGAGTTGTTAAATTAAATTAAAACTCTAAAAAAAAGGGAAAATAATTGATTTTGGGATAGGCAGCCGTGGCTGGGTGGTCGGATCACCGTCTGGTGGACCACGACGGCTACCCAGGTGGTCGAAAGGGGAAGTGAGGGCGGCGGCTGGCTGACAGGCGGCAGCAGCAAAGTGCAACTGTTGCACGACTGCCTGCTGCGGCCTGTGTCGATCGTGGCTGGGCACCAGCCTGTTTGCGACGACATCCCTTAGCCGTAAAGGACGTATTCGGGAGGTCGACTGAGCTGAGGGAATCGATTTTGGTCAGGTGGTTTCCTCGGACTGCCGATCTCAGGCGTTTTTTCCGGTCAGGTTGCTTGCCGTGGCTGGGTTATTCCCAGTTATGGTTGCGTGGTTCCTGTTGTTGCTGCGTTGGTTGGGATTTTCCCCAGCAGACGTAGAGCATATTATTTTAAAAAAAATTATTTTATTTTAAAATATTTTCAAAATAAAATATGATTTTATTTTGAGGATAATATCAAATTTCAAAAGTTGATTTTTGATAATTATCATTAATTAAAGTTGTTAATTTTGGATAAAGTTTGTTAAGATAATTTCAAATCTTAAAATTTGTTTTAATCTTATAAAATTTTAAGGATTGTTGAGCAAGATTCCAAAAAGATAAAGATTAATTTAAATAATATGATTATCCCATAATTATTTTGGATAATAATTGAATTAAAATTATGTGATTGGCTAGCAATTTGGATAGAATCTCCTAAATTAATTAGGATAACCATGGAAGATAATATGATTTATCTTTCATAACTAAAATCTGATTTGATTCTATCTCTTACCTTAAATAACATATATGATATTTTATGATTGGTTAGAAATAATATATGATATTATCTAATTGCAATAATAAATTAAAAATATGAGATATTTTATGCCATGTTTCCTCAATTATGATCATTCGATGTTATAGTTTAGGAAAGCATGATGAGTGATTTAATATGTGGCACTTTATAATATATGATATTATTTATTGCTATATATAAAGACTAGTATGGCCCATAGATTCTAAATACGATCTGCGCATCGTTTCATATTTTTGTAATCTAAATACGGTCTGCGTACTGTTAAGTATTTTGTAATTTATTTTATTTATTTAGGTAGTAAATAGAATAGAATAGTATTACAGGTTGCAGTTAATACAAGATCCATGGAGTGAAGGCCCAAAGGAGCAAGATGGATGAGATCCATGAAGGTTCAAGTGGGAGCTTTTTTCTTTATTATTTTTTCTTAGGATTAAGAGGCCATACTATGTCACGTTTTATTTATGCATTAGTAGATTATGCATGTTAGATTTTATTTATGTTGATTGATGATGCGTTAGA